AAATAGTTAATTTAACTTATAGTTGGGTGGTAGTTAATAAATATAATTAGGTAGAAAAAGAAGATTTTACTAGGTATATTAAGTAAAATATAAAAAGTATTACTTAAATAGTTTAATAGGTAAAATAAAATCTTCTAATTGGCTGTAGCCCTGCTTAGTTATATTTGGGTGCGTGCCTTTTAATTTTAGGTGCGCGAATTTCTATTCTCTTTATTTTCACCTATTTTAACTAACTTACTTAAATTATATAATAATATTACATATAATACTTAATAGTATTAAGATTAGACAGCTTATAGTTCGTAATAGCTTCAACCTTTAATAGGCTAATAGTACTAGCCTAAATAGACTAGGCACGGCCTAGCGCACTAATGTAGGAAGGTATCTTCTAATAATAAATAGTATTATAAACATAGATTATAAAGTTACTATAAAAAGTTTTATATAGTAAACTTAACTAAGCTAATCTTTAAAAGATATATTATATTTTATTCCTTTAAAACCCTAACTATTTACTTTTAGCTTAGTAGTAGAACTAAAAAAATATAAATAGTCTATATTATATATAATACATACTAGCACTACAAGATCTCTCTTAGTTGGATAACATACATATGTAATGCTTTGGCGCAGTCACGAGCGAGTCATATGTCTCCCTGTTAGCCCGGCTCGTCAGGGACATCAACAAACTCAAACGACCAGACCAACAACGCGAGGACCACGCGCAGCTCGAGATATCCCAGCCTCTTGCCCCAGCCGCCCCTATTCCCAGCAACTAAAGGCCAGGATCGGCCCAGCCGCGCTGTTAAACGAGGGCCCCGCCAGGCTGAGTAAGACGCGCGTGCCGGCGGGGACGCGGTGGTCGAGGACGGTGGTGTGACGGCGGGTCACGACCATGATGTTGACGACGGGCGTGCCGGGGGAAAGACACGGGCGCGTCAACATCAGCGTCCGGGTGGCCCCCGTTTGTTGTTACCACCGGGCACGTCAGGGCCGGCGTGCCTGACGAGCTCCTTGTTCCGGTGCTGGATGTCACCTCCATCCGGCTGCAGGCCTAGGGCAGCGTTGAGGATGTCGTTAAGTGAGAAGTCGCTAATAATGCCGTCTGTTACGTTAAGGGGGCGGCTTTCGGCCATACACGAGCGGCCTTATATGCTATAGCTCTAGGGAGGGATAGACGGTGTCGTAGATATAAGGGCTTACTTGACTATATATAGGAATGAATAATATTATTATTAGGTCCCTAGCTAGGTCCTGGCTACTGTAGAGGTCTGGGTTGGAGGTCTCCGTGGCCGGGAGGGCGTGCGGGAGGATGCCGCGCATATTGCCGTCCACCTCCACACCCCAAAGTCCACGCACGCAATAGGCATATGCTGCATGTGGTGAATGATCCAACAGTGTCTGCCACCGTGGCAAATCTTGAAGAAATGCACTGCTCCATTTTTTCGTGCCCGTGTAAGTACTGTCCAGCGTATTGGATAATACGCTTGCAATGCTGAGCACGAGCATCACGTCAGAGAATTGGTCGGGATGTCGCTCTCTGATTAAGAGCTTCAAGGCAATCATTCCGCGATCCCAAGCGGATATCGAATCAATTTGTTCCTTGGAGCCCCACTCGCCCATGGTGATGGAAACCGGCGAGAAGCTTTGCTAAGCTCTGTGAGCAGTCGTGGGTACGCTTCTTTGAATTCTTGGCGAATCTGTTGCATGCGACAGTTTCCAGCCTCTCTCAGAAGGACTGAAAGTGTTTTCCGTGCTCCAGGGCCGAAGATGGATCAAAGAGTCTGAGTATCCCCAGTCATTGCTGCCTCCCAAATTATGCTAGCATGTCGGAGATGGTCGGAATTTTGAGCTGCGCTCAATAACTGCCGAACAGATCGAGTGTCTTCAACCTTTGCAGCGCGATCAATACATAATCGGAACACATCGGGCTCAAATGAGCTCAACACCTGAAGGGTTGGTTGAAGAGGTCTGTATGCAGAGTGCTGTGCGGCTATGTAGGCGAGTTTTGTCGGATGAGTAGTGGCCCCGGGCATGGTCGATTTCAGCATCCAGTGGCATCTATTTTTTGCTGCTTCGATGACGACAGTCTCAATATTGCCCCACTTGTAAAGCTTGTGGTTCAAGTAGAAGTCAATGAGGGTCTGTCCGGCATCGTGCATGTCCTTCCAGGGCTTGTAGCTCTCCATGATAAGTCGAAGAAATATTCCATCACGGCTGCAGCCATGTCTAAGTCATTGATGTACGAGGTACTCGGACCCAAACTGGACACCGAACGATTCTGAAATTGTCCTGTAAACGCCGTCGCGAATTGTTCTTTCTTCGAGGAGCGGGAAGGCTATGATTGAGCCTGGACCTTTCAGTTCCATCCCCGGCGCTTCTTCTACTATCGCAGTTGCCATTGAACCAACTTCTGCGACATTGCGTTTGCCGCCTGCATGTTCGCTCAAGGTGGTAAGCTTTTCCTCATAGTGTCTTGACACACTGTCGAGCTCGGCCTCATTGAATTCCTGATCCAGCAGCTCAATGTCTTCCAATGCTTGTGACGCCTGGAAACTTTCCCAATGGTTGAAGCTTATGTGTTGTTGCTCATGCAGGAACATATGCCCGAAACTTGTGAAGACCTCCTCGTCATCAAGGAGCCCATACACAAGGAGCCTCATGCTGGAAAGTAAATAGGCGTCTTGGTGGTTCGCCTGTTCTTTCTGGGTAAGGACCAGCAAATCTTCCGCGAGTGCCTCAAAATTACGCAAAAGCGCGAAACCGTCAACCGAAAAACCGTGCAGGTTAGAGACTGATCCCGCAATATCACAGCCCATTATTCCCGCGATTCTCAAGTATACGGAGGCATGGTAGATGATCAAATCAAACTTCTCTTTGGTTTTGTTGGCAAGTAAAACGAAATGTGACCCGGTGCGACCGTGATTTCGGCAAAGGCATCCATCTGGGCAGGCCCGCGTGTCTCTCGCATCAATGTATTGTCCGTCGCCAAACGAGTCACCCATGTAAGGAATGCTATCCGATGTCAGTCTCAACGCACACAGGTTTGGCAACAATCACAACGGAGACAAATGAGTGAATAGAAGAGGGAGAAACTGCTTACCCGTCTGTACCCAAAGCTTCAACAAGACGGATTGAGCCCGAGCCCATCATCACCATCCAAGTATCTTTGGTAAGAGCAATTTGGTTCATACGACGCCGATAGGAGCCCGTCCTCGAGGCATTGCGTGATGGATGGATGCAACGGACCACATGCTCAAGGCACTAACGTGAAATAAGTGTCCATAACGTATTGTTTGGTGGTGAATCAGTCACAGGTAGCTTGAGACACCGAATGGGAAAATGACAGTATTGGGTATTTGTAGTGCTACCACAGAGAGGTCACCGAAAAGTTAAATGGCTTTCAAGAGTAGGCGGATGTGATCTTTATATCATACCATCCCATGTCAGACTCTCGCTAGCACCAGAGCACGGTTTTCCCCAAATCGGTTGCTTCCTGGTAACACAGGTATGGCACATTTCACCGATGTTTCGAGTGGTGTCGCTCTAAAAAAAAGTCAGCCAGGAGGGCAGCAGATCCCAAAATCAAATCAATCCCAGAGCTTCCTAAGATGGACATGGATGCATGTCAGCAACTCCGCCGACCCCATTTGCAAAAGAAGAGGCGCACGATCCCGTTGACTGGATTCCTAGGCTTCAGCCAATAATCGATCGATGGGTGCATCTAGGATTTCCCAAATATCACTTGTTGCCTGTGGTGGAAACTGGGAATTGTGCTACATCAAAGTAAATGGTCATGGCTAGCCACCCACCCTCCTCGACAGGGCGGGTACGCAGGTTGGTTGCTCATCGTGACCTGCAGGCCTCGCTTCTGTTCACCACCTGGGCACAACTTTGAGATGTGCAAGAAGCCCGTTTTCCGAAGCTCTAGCAACTCGGAGTAGACATCTGGGCTTAGGTCCACAAGCAGGGATACTGGGGTGATTCCTGAAATTGGGATTCACATATGAGCTCAGTCCATGGATACATTGAGGACAATGCCAAAGTGTGTTTTATCTTCTCGAAAACCTATCATATCTTTCACAGTGCATGTGTGCCTCATGCAGTTGCAATCACAAGGGTTGTTGGAGTCGAGTTTTATTGTGACTTTGCCCGTTTGACCTAATGACTTATGAAGAGAGCTGAATATTATTTTTCTATTTTGAGTCGCACCTATGATACAAGATAGCCCTAGACTCTGAGTGCAATTTCCACTGTTATAGCTTCAGGTTGTGTCTCTAAAGATCAGGATCTCGTGATGTAACGTTACCTTGCTTGATATACAGCGCAGCGTCTGCATCGAATTTGAGCTGAGACCCGAACTCGGCATCCGACAGTCCCAAGGTCAGCAGAAATGCACAGGGAAACGGGAGAAATAGGCACACAGTATCATAAGGTAAGCGCACTTACATGGCGCTTCGTTTCAAAGTCGTGCAGAGATGTCAGCAGCCAGATTATCACCACATGTGCATCTAGCCTCCATGTCTAGCAGAGCGAACGGTTAAGGAGAACATCACCAAACCACGCTAGCTATGGGTAAGACTTGAGACTTATGTCTTGAGAAGTTGATGTGTGAGTCTGAACTGGTGAGACTGTAAACAGGCCATCGTGACGGTGACACCACTGGGACCCTCGGAAATTGGTGCCCGCGAGCGAGGCCAGCCTTGCAGCTCTTAGGAATATGGTTCCGAAGTCCAGTGCGGTAGCACAATTTTCTGTAGAGCCTCCTCACAAGCCCGAGAACGTTGTGACGTCTTACGGGGTGTTTTGGCAGTCGAGACGAGAAAAGGAACAGCCAGGGTGTAAGGTGAAGTTGCAATTTGCTTGGCATTGCGGGATATCTGAAGGTGGCCACGCTTGAGCGATCACATCTCAAGCATCAATACCTGTCACATAGAATATACTCAAGGGAATGAATAGAATCCTCAAGAGTCTGAAAAGTTTGTAGTCTCACTATCAACATGAAGTTCCCGATCCTGAAAAGCCCAATACCGGCCCATCTGCGCAGCCTTAAAGTTGCAGTTTTGCACTTCCGAAGCCAACACAGGAGATTCGAGGTGGGAGACTCGGTGCAAAAGCCAATGGGTTCTCATGATGCGTTTGGGGTCCACCCAGGCTCAGCAAGCTCAACTCCTGTCGGTATGAACCCAGGAGCAACTGCGTGTCCAAGATCAGCCAAATACTCGCAATGCACAACCTGGACTTATAGAGTGGGGACTGGTTGTCCTACCTGTGGTCCCAACAAGCGTCCACTCCCCCAGGCTCCTCGCCGACTGCCACTCGCCCCTCTGGATCGCGACCTGCGGCGCCTGGTCCGCATCAAACACGTCCGGGCCGAGCATCCGCCGCCGCAGCGGCTGGCCGTCGTCATACGACAGCGAGAGCACGAGCGGCGCCCCGGCGTAGTAGTGCCAGACCTCGGCGGCGTCGACGCGGTGCCAGACCGAGTCGCCCGCGGCGCCTTCGAGCAGGTAGTAGATGGCCGTGCTGGCGGAGCGATTCAGGCTGGTGATGACGAAAGGGTCCTCGAAGGTCTGGATGTAGTATCCCTTCTCCTCGTTCGGAATTAGGCCCAGCTTGTCGATGACCTCCTGCGCCGTGCGCTTGTTGATGGGGGTGTGAGGGCTCGCCTGTGGGTCTGTCTTTCGGCTTGGCGTGCCAAGGACGGCGTGCGGCGCGCATGTGAGCGCAACCAGGCATAGAAATACGAGGGATGCCCTCATTGAAGCCATGATGCTGATGATTGGTGGCTTTCAGGCGGAGACCGGACGGGTTCCGAACTGCCCGAAGCGTATGCAGCGGTTGTAGCGGGTGTAGTTGATTCCAAACTCATGCAGGTGCCCCCGAGTGCCCCCGATGTGGCTCGGTGGATAACGAGCATGAGAGAATAAAAAGATGCGGTTGGGCACCCCCGTTGTTGAGATAGGAGGGATGTCCAATCATTTATTATGGTTCGGAGATCATTCTGTGAACGTCTAGTGCTGACAGCTTTGCACGCCGGGCTGGGCGGTACTAGCACCTACTCGAGTAGGTGAGTGATTAGGTCTTGTAGATCCGTGTGTGTTGGTGAGCGTGGACGGGGAGGCGTACGACGGCCCCTGGCACTGCCCAGGTACCCTTGCCAAACAGTGAAATCCTGCCACAGTATAGCAACTCTGAGTATTGAATGATGATAGCCTCCTTTCTCTTGACAAAAGTTAATGTTGAGGCCACAACCCCGGTTTCTGGATTCCCGAGGAGCACGAATTCAGACCACGCTTCTCATACATTTCATATGAGAGTTGACCAATTGGGTTGGGAAGCAGACGTTAAGGCAACAAGATCATTTAACATCAGTGATTAATGGGTCTTGAGCGTTTACCGCCGTGTGAAGGTGCCATTTATGTCCTCGGACATATACGGAATAGAAGCGAAACCAGATAAGGGCATAATGATTTCAAATGACCCAGCACAACAAGTAACGCTAGATCTTGCACTGCATGTGTGGCTTGCGTCTTGTACAACGTGGAACCTATCACGTTACACATGCATGAAACCCACCCAAAAGAGGAGCCTAATCAACCAGGACCGGCATCGGGATGCTCTCTGTCTCTCAAGGAGGCTCGCTACTTTCCAAACTGGGAATTGATTCCTGCAAAGTTGTAGTATGGCGTCTCGAGACAGGTTGCAGCCATGGGGAAGCATGGAATCAATCGGGGCAGGCAGATACTTGTCGAGGAGACTTATCTGGAGGAGGGGGCAAAACGAGCAAAATTGTCCCCTCAAGTATATTTAAGAGGTATGATAGCTACATGTGTTTTAGACTAGACCTCGATTCTTGGACCTCAACTTCACAATCAACATGTCATTTACGCTCAACTCAGACACGATGTCCCCTTGGCTGCTTATTGTGGGTGCCATTTTACTTGTATCGATACGTTACTCATGGAATAAGTTTTTCGACAGAAGGACACTTCCACCAGGACCAAAAGGGGTGCCACTGATCGGTAATCTGCATCAAGTTCCCAAACAGCGGCAGTTTGATCAATACTACCAATGGAGCAAGGAATACGGACCTATCATGTATTTCAACATGGCAGGGCGACCGTTGGTCGTCCTCTCGTCCCACAAGGCAGCACATGGTCTACTCTCACTCCGGAGCTCTCGCTATTCGGATCGACCTAGGATGGTGATGGCCTCAGACCTGATAACGAAAGGAATGCACATATTAATGAGACCCTACGACGCAGCTTACAGGCTTCATCAGCGCATGCAGGCTCCAGTTCTGAACCCCGGTGCAGCAAGACGGTATGCTCCCTTGCAGGACCTCGAATCTCGTCAGATGCTATTCGATATACTGAAGGAGTCGGACGCTGCCGGCGGAAAGGGCATTTATGCTTCACACCACATGGAACGTTCCATGGCCAGCTTCATCTACAGCCTTTCGTATGGATATCGCCTTCGAACGGGCCATGAGGAGCACTTCGAGGATGCGAAGCGTGTCCAGGTCCAGTTCAAAGAGACTGGTTTGGTGGGCGGCTACATCGTTGATGTCTTGCCCGTATTAAACAACCTGCCTAGCTTTCTTGCGCCCTGGAAGAAGAAGGCCGAGGAGATCTACCAGTTGGAAAAAAGACTCCATACTGGAAATGTGCGAAGAGGCTTGGAAAATCCCGGGTGGAACTTTACAAAGCATTACTTTAATCATTCACCAGAGGCTAAAGGTATGTCTGATGTTGAAATCGCTTATGACTTGGGCGTTATCGCGGATGCCGCCTTGGATACATCAACGGTGACCCTGGCATGGCTCCTTGTGGCATGGGCCACCAGTGATGGGGAATGGGTGGCCAAGGCGCAGCGGCTTCTCGACAATGTGGTCGGCAGGGACCGTATGCCGCGATTCGAGGACCGTGACAAGTTGGCATACATCGATGCCATTGGTATGTTGGTTCAATCGCATAATTCCAAACCAAATTTCTACTGACGCGTTGTTGTAGCCAACGAAACACTTCGCTGGCGACCGGTTTTGGTGGGTGGCGTCCCACACTTCACCAAGACCGAGGACACGTACATGGGGTACAAAATCCCGGCGGGCTCGATCGTCATAGGGACTCACTTCGCTATCACCCAACAAGAGTCGTCATTCGGCGACAGACCGGCGGATTTCATCCCCGAGCGCTGGCTAGCCGAAGATGGCGGCCTGAAAGATCTTCCTCTGACCGGGTTCGGCTTCGGCAGGAGGATCTGTACCGGCAAGCACATCGCCCGCAACAACCTATACATACATATGGCGAAGCTGCTATGGGCTTTCGACATTGAGCTCGGAATCTCGGAGGTGACTGGCGAGCAAGAACGAATCGATGATATGGCTGGCACGGAAGGGCTTGTCTTCTCACCAGCGCCTTTCAAGGCTGTATTTCGGCCCAGGGGCCCTTGGATTCGGGAACTGATCGAGAGGCAAGGGAACACTCATGAGGTTGACCACGCGGAAATACTTGCTGAGATTGGACGTGGCATGATTCCCAAGTCAGGGGCCTAACGATATGTGAAGGCATACCTTGGACATCTTCACACTCTTGGATGACACCCGGTTAATCTGATAGTTCGATCAATACCGAACGATTCTGAAGCAAGATACGTTGCAGATGTGGGATTTGAAGCAGTAGCATTATTGGCGCCTGCTATAACTCGCGTGCTTTTGTGGTCGGACTGAGTTAGGATATCCACATGTAGAGGTCGGGTGGTAGAACAATTTGTCCAAGGCAGGTAATTTTGACCAGTCTTCCATATAGCATTTCAATCTTATGATATGGCGAACTGCGCACACAAGAATGACCCATTGTAGGCCTCCAATCGATTGATCAAAATGAGGCCTATTCTCGCCGTAATAACTATACAAAATGAGTAATAAAATTAGACCCGTCACAATAATAACCCCATATCACCCATGACGACTTTCAGGTACAGCCTCATGAAACCCTCATCCACATCCTGAGTGATCCTGCCCCGTACAACCCAAGGCACGGATATTAGAACATTGCAAGACACTCTCTAGTTTTGCTTGCCCTTGGCGGCACCCTTGGCAGCAGCAGCATCAGCGCCAGCGGCTTTGGCATCCTGAGCGTTAGCATCCTCATCAGCGGCAGCCTCCTCGTCAGCAGCCTCCTCGTCAGCGTTGGCATCTTCCGCATTGGCGTCCTCTTCAGCAGCAGCCTGCTCGTCAGCATTGCCGCCCTTTGCTTTGGCATCACCAGCTTTAGCATCAGCCGCTTTAGCATCAGCCGCTTTAGCATCAGCCGCTTTAGCATCAGCCGCATTCGCATCAGCCGCGTTCGCATCGGCAGCATTGGCGTTGTTGCCGTTGTTCTTGCCAGCGGCGTCGAGCTGCTTCTGGGCCAGGACCTGGCAGGCATTGGGCAGGGCCGGGGATGGGGCATTGAGGCCGGCGGCAGCAGCGGCAGACTGCTGGACGGCGCCCTCCTCAAAGATGGCACCGTTACCGGCGGGAGGGGGGCACCTGATTCCCGTCGCGTGTTAGCCACAAGTGACGAGCATCTGTACGGCATGCATGTGAGGTGGCTTACCGAGCACCGTTGATGGCATCGAGGTTCTTCTGGAGGTTCTGGGGGTTGGTGATGGTGTCGTTGATCGCGGGCCCGATGATGTTGAACTGGTCCTGCAGGGCGGCGGCGGCGGCGAGGCCGGAGGCGTCCAGCTGGACGTCGTTGCCGAGGTCAGTGTTGGAGGTTCCCTCGTCCTGGGCGGCCACGAATGCCTGGGCAGCGGCGTCGCTGATGTCTTGCTCGTTCTGGAGCTGGCCGGCCGTGTCGACGAAGTTGTTCACGGCGGCAATGTCGTTGAGCCAGTTCTGAATGGTGCCAGCCACCTTTTGCTGAGTGGCGGCGTCTACATTTGCATTTGCGTTGTTGCCACCGGCCGCAGCGGCCGCAGCACCTGCAGCATTGTTGCCCTTCTTGGGCATTGGAGTTGCCAGGACAGCGGCGCCCATGGCGAGTATGATACCGGCGGTGCACTTCATCTTGAAATTATTAACGATGTTGTTTGGTGGAATAGGAGACAAGAAGATAAAAATTATTAATGAGTATGTATAATGATGGACTACTGCGCAACCAGTTGCGTCAGATGAAGAACAGATGTAGTATCGAATCTCTCAACGAGAAGCTTGACACAAGAGAATGAATGATAAGACGAGGCTTGCCAAGAACGGGACGATGTTCGGATAAGTCAAAGTGGCAGGGTAAGCTTAAATATCCAGATGAAGGCCATCCTACTCCAGGTCAACTGGTGCCATCTGATGCAAATGATGGTGTTCGTCTAGAGCTAGGTTCAAATGTGGAGTCGAGTCAAGCTTTCCTGACGCTACACCCTATGCAGTTTATGCTTTGACCGGTAACGAATCAGGCATTAACAGATGATGAAGCTTTTGTGTCATCTCTCAGGGGAGGATCATAGCGCAAGCTGTCCAACCTTGGAAGCAAGCCTTCCGTGTAAGTGCCAGGGGTGTTTCATTGCTGCTGATGAAGATGGTTCTTGCTACAGCAGGGAGCCCTGGCGAACACATTTACGGTTCAATACTGCGCGCGAATACTCAAGGTCAAGTCTGAGTACCGGAGGTGCTCAGCCTACCTTAGTCAGGCGGTTTATGTTACACGATAGAGGTTAACTGCGGGTTAGCCGATATGGACCCTTGTACAAAAACCTACTATCACCAAAACGTAGATAGGTACCGAAAGACAAAAAGTAAGCAGATACAGGGCAGCCTTGCAAATGCTTTGGGCACTCGTTGTGGGCGGCATGATGGACTAATACAACGAAAAAGCCTGTACTGGTGCCCAACACTTGAATGAGCGCGCAGAATAAGAAATCAAAATCACATCATTTCAAACCCAAGAGTGAGGGGAGTGTATGCTGTCTACCGCTGGTGGCCGTTGTAATGAATAAGAGCTATAGTGCATAGGACGGCTGTGATCGGGCCCGAAAACTATCTCGGAGTGCATGCCCAGGTGATTCTGGACTGGTAGTGGCCCGCGACGGTGAGGCACCAGGTCTCAGCTGTCGATCGTCAAAGTAAACCTTTACCAACGTGTATGATGTGCAAAACTTTAAATCCTCCGAATCATCTTTTGTCCGGCCGTTTTGGCGGATTAAAGCTGCTAGCTCAGGGGCGGGCCTGCTGCTCCAACGTTTGATCTACCGATGACCCTAGTGCGGCCCGGTTGAGTGGAGCGAGATGGCTCGAGACTTGCATCGCGCCACAAGTTGAAACACTGTGCCCCGGATCCCGGATTTCCATCAACCCCTAGGACATCGACCCCCTCAACAGTGAGTATGAGCATGACTGGTGATCAGCAATTGCCTGAGTAGCTGAGGAGAGGGTCAGCTTTGTAGTAAGGATGTTCTGGGATGAAAAATACGGGCCCGAGTTGCCCCCTACACCTCCCGCCAGCAGTGGGTAAGAGAACCGAAACCCACGGGTAGGCCTAGACTTGACTTGCTTGTAGGGTGCACGTTGGCTACTGGGGACGATAACGGGAGCACTGTCTAGCCTAGATAGGGAAAGATACATACTACTATACCACGCACTGGGGGGTATATGTATACAATCTCTAGACTATTCCCTTCAGCTTGAAAATAATACTCCAAATAGTTCCTTATGTGGTATCGCTTCTATTCCGTATACATCTAAGGACATACATGGTGCCTTCATACAGTGGTAAGCACTCAAGACCTAGGGCTTGGAAAGAACACGGTGTGGATAACTATAGTTAAAACATGATGGGTGACCTTTATATTACATAGGAGGTTTGAGTGACGTGTCTGCTGCTCACTTCTTAAGGATCAAAGAAGTATAGTGGACGTCCTTGCCTCTTCCTGTCAGGCTCCAGCTCCATTATCCTTTTCTTGTGATAATCCCAGAGCCTAGATGTCGGAGTAACCTGTCGGTTTGTTTCCATAGCTGCAGTCAAAAAGGTCTCATCGAAAGGCTCCCCTGCCTCTTTCTTTACCAACTCTCTTCTAATTTTAATCTCTTCGGTTATTTCCGGCCAGTCGTAGCCGCTGATGACGTCCTTTGCGCGCGGGCGTGGTCCTTCAGGGATCTCGTAGCGATTTCGCCAAATGTGGTGCTTAACCCTGCCATCATAAGGATGCCAACGCCACCTGTTATCTGGGGTAACCTCGATGGGAAATGGACAATGACTGTGGTCCGGTGTTGGGGATAATAGATAATGTACCAAGCCGTCGAACTGCTCTTTTGTGGGCGGTGCAATGGTGATGCCAGTGCGTCCTCCACGGCCGCTGTGCAGATACATGCCGTTGCACTGTCCGTCAGATTAGCATGGTATTTAGTGAAGGTGCGCAGAAATTAATATTACTCACCTCTTCTTCACTCTCGCCACGATCAAAAAGAACAACGCCACCAAAGATTTGCGTCTCTGCCCAGTATCCAACCATGTCGGCAACTCCACTGGGATATCGAGACGACTCTATATACCTACCATTCCAGAAGAGCGTAGGCGGAGGCAAGGCTTTCCGGTCAAGAGACTTTTCCGGGAGACTTGCAAGCTTTGCAGAAAGCCATTCTTCATGCTCCCGATGTTTATGGACCCCAGCATCCATCTGATATAGGTAAATAGCTATGTTATGACAAGCACCAGCAACTAGTTCAAGAAGCCGCAGCTTCCACGCTGTAGATCTTGGCAGGGTTTCTTGATATGCTTGCAAAGTCTGTATTGATGTAATCAGATTGTGAAAATTGGTAAATTTTCAGTTGGGAATACTAACATTAGGGTTAAAAGTTAGATCAAGAACGTTGAAGTCTGAGCGAAACGCCCTCGCCTTCTCCAGAGAGCCAGGACATAGTGCCTCATGGTCTGAGACGGCCAGACCTTCTCTGAAATGATGATCGGCGGCGTAGACGTTGCTTGTAGGCTGCCCATCGATGATCTGAGCATACGTAAACTCGCTGATCGGCGCGGAAAGGAAATTGATCAAGGCTCGGCGCAATGGCTCAAGATGCTCGATTCCGAGATGCTCTGGTGATTGCATGGCGCACGGTCAACTTGGAACTCCAAAGGGAGATATGCAGGCAAAAGAGGTGTTGAGTGTAAGTTCAATGAAGCTTGCGTGTTGATCAGTGATGGTAGAATGAAGGTACCTAGGTAGGTGGTGAGATGGCCGGGCCAATGCCGAGGGTTGATGATGTATGTTGTTGGTTTAGGAACATTGAAAGTTCACATCGGCTGCCAACAGGTTGTTGGCATTATTTCTAGTAAGCAGTGGAACTCAAGCAGACAGTGGGCCAATTGCGGCTCAGGAAACCAGGGACCCTTGTCCTGTGCAAACGATATCTCCATCCAGGAGCTAATACATAGCCCGGAGGATTATCTACCTGTCCCTTTGGCCCCCTCATGTGGCCTGTAGAGTGGCCGAGTTTCTCCACTTCTCTCTAGATCGTGCAGAGAACTGCACGACTTTATGGATATCCAACAATTGAGCATTGACTTGGCGCGGCCCAGCCGGCCGTACGGCCGAAGAGGCCAGGCCCGACCAACGCCCCCTTGGTACCGTCCTGGACAACAACGGAGTGGGAGATATCATAGGCCTTGTGCAATTCATCCCCACTTTGGACAACTGGTCTGGCAGTTGTGAACACTTGATTGGCATCGCTTATTCCTCAGTATGGCCTCAGTCCTGCAGTCTTCCTGGTCTGAGACAGGCCGCCATCTATTTCAAGATGTTTTCGACCAAGTCTTCAATCCAAAGAGTCTCATTCTCAAGGCATTTCAAAAGTATAAGATCAGAACTCAGTCCATCCTTTACACGAAATATCATCGACTACAAATCATTCAGCATTCCACACCGTCCTTCCACTCCATCGATCAACAATTAGTATCTTCTGGTAAGATAAGACGAGTAATAAGACGACTGGAATCATTATTTCAAAAGATTCTCTAAACAATCTCCTGCTATCACCAAAATTTCCTTTTCCTTTTTTTTTTTTCCACCTGACGCAACTATATTTTCAAAATGGTGAATCTGCCTACCAGACCTGCGAAGCCTGCTGCTGGACCAGCAAGGACATCACCACCTGCTGGGCCAGCATGACTGGTTAGTATAGCGGCAGGCCTTAGTGCTGACAAGCTGAAATTGCCATCTAATATAATTTCCTATTGAAGGGAGTCCTACTAACATTTGTCTTTTAGCACAGAAAGCGTATACTTCCACATCTACAGATCGATCCGATCTGAGTGGCGTGTCACGCTGATGACCCGGGCAGTAACGGCCCAACCTGTCCACATAAACGCCGTGGCTTCGCCGGCGGCCTTTACTAGTAGTCTTAGTTTTGCCCCTCAAAAATGAACTCATAATCTTGACCAACCTGACCGCGCTGTGACATGGCGTGCGCTACTTGGTTCCCCGATTAGCGAACTATAGATGATATCACAGGCAACCCTGTTCATCACCCTGCAGAATTGTTATTCCTTGACAAAAGTACTTGCGCACGGCTGCCCAGGTGACACGAGGCTAGATGTGCATCAACGACAGAATGTGATTTGTGACAACTCGCGACGACCCAAAGGCATTATGCAAAAGTACGCTTATATAAGCAATTCAGATGTAACATATTTACGGATGTGACCCGAGGCCAGGACCTGTTGGTTCAAAAGCAACCAGCGCCAGACTTTTGAATACCCCTCTTCTTAATCTGAAGTATTTCGGGCAAGCCTCAGTCCGACAACAACTTGCCCAGGTGGACTTTTGGGGATCGATGAGCCGACATGGAATTCAAACTCAGCTGGCAGGCCTTGGGCGGAGCAGTGGTGGTCTACTACCTGACCCTCGTCTTCTACCGCCTCTTCGTCCACCCCTTGGCAAGCTTCCCAGGGCCCAGGCTGGCAGCCATTTCGCGATGGTATGAGGGCTACTACGACGTTATTCTGGACGGGCAGTACACCTCCAAGATTGCAAAGTTGCACAAAGTATACGGTGCGCTCTCACCGGCGACCCCAACTAGCACCCCGACTTGGGCATCTATGGACTTTTGAGTGACCGCCCGTCAAACAGGCCCAATCGTCCGGATCAGCCCACATGAGCTACACGTCAACGACCCGGCCTTCTTCGACACCCTCTACCGCACGGATGGCAGGTGGGACAAGTACTCGTGGGCATACGATGCCTTCGGGGCCAAGAACTCCACCATCTTCTGCTCAGGTACGCATTGCAAGTGTCAATATTATCGGACACACCCTCCAACCACCCGGAAACCACCCAATGACTACAACATAACTTACAACCTACCCCCCAGACCACGACGCCCACAAGGCCCGCCGCCGCGCCATAGCCCCCTACTTCTCCAAGCCCAGCGTCGCCGCCCGGGAGCCCATCGTGCGGCGCAACGCAGAGGCGCTGCGCCGGCGCGCGGACCTCGCCGCCGCAGGTGAGGAGTCGTTCAACCTCGGCGCGGCCGTCAGCGCCCTCACGCGGGACACGGCCAACGAGTTCACCACGGGGAGGCCCCACGGCGACCTCGACAGGCCCGACCTCGGCGCCGGCCTGTCGGCCGCGTCGCAGGGGGCCGGCCCCTTCTGGCGCGTCACCAAGCACGTGCCGTGGTTCGGCCCCGCGGTGAGGGCGCTGCCGGTGGGGTTGGTCATGAGGGTTGCTGATGAGAACACGAGGGCTTTCCTCGGGTCTCTTGCGGTGAGTTTTTTTTGTGTGCCCCTTGCTTGCTCGCTGCTTGTTGGGTGGTTTGCGCTGATGGATGGGGCCTTGGGATATTGTTAGCAATCCGAGCAGGACACGCGGGAGATCCTGGCCGCCGCGTCGTCGTCGTCCCCGCCTCCTCCTGACAAGACAGCAGCAGCAGCAGCAGCGCCGGGCCACCCCACGATGATCCACGCAATAGTAGCATCCGACCTGCCCCCGCGCGAAAAGACCTTCGCCCGCGTCCACGAGGAGGTGATGACCGTGTCGGGCGCCGGCTTCGAGACAACCGCCAGCGCGCTGAGGCTGATCCTGTTCCACGTGTACACCAACGAGGAGATCCTGCACAGCCTGAGGGCAGAGCTCGCCCAGGCCTCCTCCTCCTCCTCCTCCCCCTCCTCCTCCTCCGCCACCAGCCCACCCCCGCTCAGGGCCCTCGAGCAGCTCCCCTACCTCACCGCCGTCCTGACCGAGGGGATGCGCCTCAGCCCCGCGGTCGCGTCGCGCGCGGCCCGCGTCTCGGACAGGGACCTCTTCTACGGCGGCGGGTGGCGGATCCCCGCGGGGACGCCCGTGGGCATGACGGCCCTGCTGATGCACACCGACCCCAACGAGTTCCCGGACCCGATGCGCTTCGACCCGGGGCGGTGGCTGGCCGGGGGCGGGGGCGACACTGGCAAGGCTCGGGCGGGGACCTGGGCGCCGCCCAGGCACTACTACGCGCCCTTCGGGAGGGGCACGAGGGTCTGTCTGGGGATGCAGTGAGTACTCCTCTTGCGTGCTGCACCGCGCGTCCTGTCTGTCTGTCTGAAGGGATTTCCCGCTGACGTGCTGGGGCTCTGCCCTGCTGCGACACAGCCTCGCCTGGGCCGAGATGTACCTCGTCCTGGCGACCCTGGTGCAGCGGTTCGACTTCACGATCGAGGGTGCCACGGCCGGCGACTTCGAGATGGAGAGGGACAACTTTGCGATTGGGACCCGGGCCGGGTGCAACTTGATGGCTCGTGTTAGACTTCACACGGGCTGATGGACCTTGCGCGGCCCACGTTCTCTCAACCTTGGGAGGGTCCTCTCTCCTATATACTCTATATACACTACTCGGTAATACCCTAGGGTAGTTCGGATGGAATGGGGCCGCTGGGCTCCATTATGAGTGGGATAAAAAGTTACCTGGAGTAGTTTAGAGGGCATGTTAAAGTAGTTTTATTTCTAATCCCTATATATTATTTACATAATATATATAACACCTCTATATAGTAGTAAACACTTAAGACCTAGCATTCTCCTTTTAAAAAAGAACTATAATTCTAATATAGTATAGAAAGAATATAATACATCTATAGGTACATAGCCTTGGTACTAGTATATAAAGGTGCCATATATGTCCTCGGACGTATGCGGAATAGAAGCAAAACCAGTTTCCTAATGGCAGCAGAAAATTGGTGCCCTCGTCGACAACCCCAAACTCTTTCTTTCTCTTCCCAAGGAGATCTTGCCGGACAGTGACAAAGTGAAAGTGAGTGACAGTGACGTTGGCACGCTCGCTCACGATGATGACTACTATTGTCACTACTACCAACATCCTCATTGCTAAACTTTTGAAGGCGCTGCGTGTGGCTTCAGACCCTTACGAAATAGAAGCGGAACCACGTCACATTTACTACGTCAAGGCAGTCGCACATTGACAAGCCCTCACTCCTCGTCCTAACAGTCACCGACAGCGTCAAGAAAGAGCACTCTTCCCGTAAATCACAATCAGATTCCTATATTGATTCTCGAGCTACTTTTTGACTCTTCCACGCGTTCCCATACAAGATCCCAGACGACGGGGCAGGAACAAACCGTCTTGGCATGAATGAAGCCTTCCTTGCGTTGCGTCAGCGGCATATAAACAAGGGCAGATCCAACTCGGATCCGAGAGACATCACAATTGAACGCAGCAAAGCAGAGGCCCGGAAACAACAAGACTATGAGCCGTGTGACCTGCACTGCAGAGACACACAGGACAGAAAAAGACAACCCACCCCACCTACCTTACCTACCTTACCTACCTACCTACCTCGGCGTCGACAAGAGGGAGACAAGCCATGCTCGCGTATCCCATATGCGCCGAGCGATAGATAGCCCAGCAAGGCCCGACAGCTCACGGGACAGCCAGCATGGCTCCCCAGATGGACGAGGGGGGTGCAGCCCTCCAAGCCTACACAAGAGATCGGACACCGGGGGAGGGGGGCGGGCAAGAAAACAGCAAGGCGTGTGACTGACACCTCATTGAGGACCGCCCCGTGGACCTTCGTTGTTCGAGCAGCAGTGCCCGCGGCGGCCCCCTCAACAAAGGAGCCGCGGTGCTCTGCTCGCCTCGCCAGGGGCCCCAGCGGTAGGTTGGTTGGTTGGCCAGTTGGCCCCATGGACAACCACCAATGAGGCAACAACCCGCACAGCCCTGCTTGCTGTCGTGCAAGTCAAGCCTGTGTAGCCAGCCAGCCAGCCAGCCAGCCAGGCGTGCATGAAAGAGAAACAGGGCGCGTTGGCCCCCTGAGGTCTGGGTGGGTGTTTTGGAGGAGGGGAGGGGGGAGGGGGAAGGGTCAGCTGCGCACCTTGTGTACGAGGCGAGGAGAGGCGAGGCAAGGCCACATCTCTCCTCTCTCTCTCTCAAGAAAAGAGGCCAACCGACGCCACGTAGGGGAACGGCTCTAATTGCACCGAAACATGCAGGCCATGTTTCAGCCAGCCCGATGATGAGTCTGTTGCCGACGCCGAGCCTTTGTTCTGCCGTCCGCATCTGAATCTGATTTTGTTGCAAAACCCCCCAAACCCCCCCCCCTGCGATCAAGAGGCGCGGTAGGTAGGTACACTGAACCTTGGGGGGGGGGGGGCTTGACGCCACATTCCAGTACCTGGTAGAGTCCATCCAGTGTGTGCCGCCAAAAAATTGTGGTTTTGTGTGTTTGCCCTGGACTGTGAACGAGAAACAAGACTCATCAGCTAGCTACAGGAATGGTCGGTCACTCGGCTCTTTGGGGTTTACCTTTGTCGTCCTGTGGTGGTGGTGGTGGTGCAGCATGCATCGCCCGTGTGTGTCTCCTGCCGTCCTCAAGACAAACAAAGCACGCTCTCCCACCCCGCGGGAAACGAGGCAACGTGCTTTGTCTGCAAACGGACTGACAGGTGCGGGTCTATGTAGCTCAGGAGATAGGTGCCGTGATTGCTGCGTGGGTTTTGACGCAGCAGCGCAAAATCGCGTAACGTTTTCAAAGGTTGGCACATTTTGCGTAAAGCGGCAGGGCGAGAGCGGGTACAAAGGCAAGTTGGGTGTGGACATGCTGACTGGGTCGTGGCATAATTTGTTGCACCTTTTAGGAAGTTTTCTCCCGTTGTTCATGTTGACATTCAAATCGTGAGTTGGCAGGCACAGTGGTTGTTAGGAGAGTTCTGCTGAGCTCCGAGTCAAGTTTGGCGCTATCTGTTGACGACGTCCCTCTCCCTGTAATTTTCGAAGGGTGTTGTTACCCGCTAAAAGCCGTACCGAATCCGTTCAGAGGCTGTGATGGGGGAATGACGAGAACTGATATTCGTACAGGTGCAGGTGAAGAAAACGTTGGTGAAGTCTGGTGTCATGTGCAAGGCCCGAATGTCCCCGATCTGCTCCGCATACAGACGACTGCTGGGAAACCCCCACATTTCGCGTCGCTTTCCGAATGAATGATTTGAGACCAGCATGTCGGCCGTTCCGGTCTCGACGCGAAATCCCCGGTAATTAAATCGCAACTCATTTGCAATAAACACAGAAGGCCCAGGTGCAGAGTGCCTAACTAGTGGTGTGCCGTGCAAAACTCCTCGGTGGCAAATTGTTCTTTTGATATCCGACCCACTCCCCTTCCCATGAACGAAGAAAATGAACAAGGCGTGCAGACCCTACAGGACCGCAGCAGGCGATTCAACCTACCATGCATGATGAAAACGTGGCGGCTGACCAGGTGGAGAGGTCTAGCGCGCAGGACGGTCGGCACCTAGAAAGTTCAGTCACGGCCACAGCGGTGCAAGGACTAGTCACGCGTACCCTCGCCGTAGCCGCCGGGCGCGGGCGCATCGCGAGGAGGGCGGTCGAATCGCGGGCCTCCTCCACCGCCGCCGCCGTAGCGGTCATCACGTCCCGAGGAGGCGTAGCGGTCGATCCTGCCACCGCCCTCAAAGTCTCGGTCTCGGCGGTCGTAGCCTCCACGGTCATCGCGGTAGCCGCGGTCGTAGCCACCACCTCCACGGTCGTCACGGTATCCACGGTCGTAGCCACCTCCGCGGTCGTCACGGTAGCCGCGGTCGTAGCCACCTCCGCGGTCGTCGCGGTCGCGGTAGCCACGGTAGCCACGGTCCTCGTAGCGACCTCCGCGGCCGCCACCACCGCCGCCGTATCCGCGCCTGTCGTCTCCATAACGGTCTCCTCCGAAACGGCCTCGGGGCGGGCCACCCTCTGGTATTATGTGAGCATGACAAAGCAATGGTTACGAGTGTACAGGGGGCCAGTTACATACCACGCTTGGGGGGTCCAAAGTACTTGCCGGGGGTCGGGGTGCGAGGGCGGGAGCGACGAGCCTTCTCGATGCTCAGGGTGCGTCCCTCGAGCTCCTTGCCCTGGAGACCATCCCTGGCGGCGTCGGCCTCGTCGGAGGTCATGAAGTTGACAAAGCCAAAGCCACGAGACTCCTTGGTGTGGGGGTCACGCATGATCTGGCACTTCTCGACGTTTCCGTACTTAGAGAAGAGTCGGGTGACCTCATCCTCGCTCAGCCTGGGGTGGATACCGGTGACGAAAAGGTTGGAGCCGGAGTTGATAGCACCCTCGCCGTCCCTGGAGCCACCGCCTTCGTCCTTGACCGGGCCGCTACAAGCAGAATGGTGTTAGGAATATATGGTTTGTGCTTGTACGAACGTGAATGTGGTTTGTTTGGTCGGGGCTGAGGGTTTGGATGAGTTGGAGGCGGTTGTTGAGGTTGGCTTACCGGTCGCCACCAGCAGCAGGGGAAGCGGAACGGCGACGAGCGCTATCGTGGCCGTTGTCGCTTCGAGGGGAGGCGCTGCGGTTGTCACCACGGTCATAACGAGGTCCCTCGTCTGTTAAGGCATAAACAAGTCAGTATTAGGTTGGCTCCTGGTGTGAAGTTGGCGGCGCGTCTGGCGCAGCGTGGCGCAGCGCGTCGCAGCTGGGCAAGAGAAAAAAAAAGCAAAACGTGGAAAACTGACCCTCGAAACGATCTCCTCCAGGGTTCTCATAATCCATTGCAGTAGTCGCCATGGTGACGAGCGGGTTGGTGAGGCTGGGTGTGTGAGTGTGTCGATGAAAGATTTTGGAGTTGTGCAAGGCTGCTGGGCAGGACAGGACGTAAGCAGTCGGGAAGGAAAGAAGGCGGCAATGCAGTGGGCGGAATCGGGCTGGGCTTTGAGTCACCAGGCCAGATCTTTGCTGGGGAGGAAAGGGCGCCTCTCTACGTCAAAAGACGTTTGGAAGGGTAGGCCAGCGGACAAAGAAATGCAAGTAAACTCGACTGCACTGCGCGGACCATGCAAAGGGAAGGTCCAAATGCCAGGCCTGGGAATGGATGTTGATGGAGGAAGCTGAAAAAAATGGGCCACGCGAGAGAAGAAAGGGAGAAGTCGAAAGCAGCTGGAATTCACTAGCATGACTAAGCAGCAGGGGGTGGGGGGGCCGCATGTGGGGCCCTGCAGCTTCCGAGCATAGCCTGCCCAGTTGCCCAGGTACGGAAGACTCGCCTCAGAGAGTGCCTAGCCTAGGTAGGTACCGAGTACTCCGTACCAGATTCAAACAAGAAAATGCACAGGCATTACGAAGTTACTCCGTAGTCCCATCTTCACCCTGGCTCTCGGCAGCCCAGCTCTGGGGGGAGCCCAAAAAGGGATGATAGGACGTGGTCAATAGTCTACTCTTCAAATGGTCTGCACCTGCTTGTGGCATAAACAAACCCGTCTGAACCCCAAATCCATGGCTATTCTGCGTTTCGAATCATCACTTGCGCCAGGCCCACCCTCGAGAAGGCAGCCTTCGCATCGATGATGAACGGATGGGTGGATGGATGGATGGGTGAGCGCTTCGGAATCCGTAGGCCAGTAAGCCGGCCGGAAGCACACGGCCTGCATGCCTGCATGCCTGCCCTTGTCCACTTCGCTGCAGGCCAGTGGATCGCCCTGCAGCCTCACCTAGACCGATTAGGTTGGACGCCTGACTACAATACGCAGTAGGACCGCATGCAGGCCAGACATGCCCGCACTCGCTCACTCACGGTTCGCAGTGTCATCAAGGCCTCATGATCCGCTCTCCCCACACTCTGTCGACTCTGGCTAGACTCTATACCCACTAGCACAGACTGCGGGAAGGTCCCGTCGACGACCTCTCGAAGCCTAGGCCTTCCTGCGGGTTCAGCACACACATACACACACACTCATACATGCATCGCGCATATGGTGACGTACGTGCGTACCTTGAGACCATGTAGTCTGGTAGTCTGCCTAGGGTGTGACCTCTCTTGTCATTTGCAATCTGGCCCGTTCCCTCTCACAATCACCGGCAGCAAACACTCTCCCGCCAATCACCTGCGGAGCCAAGATGATTGGCGAAGGGTCTGATTCCTGCCACTGCTTACATACACGCAATCAAACCCTATGCGCCGCCCTACAGCTCCATTTCTGCGTTCTGGGCCATGCCAAAGACTCTGTCCTCCTCGAGGACAGCCATCACGTCCAGCATCTTGGGCTCTGCAGCATCGAGGAAGCTCAAGCCCTCGGTTGCTTTGCCGCCACAGGCACGCTCCAGGGCGAGGAAGGCAAAGTGACCCCCTACCACGGGTCTGGCCTTGAATTCGAGACCGCCGGGGTAACCTCCTTCTCCCTCGGTTTCGTAGAGATCGGTAAACGGCTTGTCTGTTTTGTCAGGTTAGTGCATGGTCGTTTCTCTATTCATTCATCGGTGGTCATTACCTGTCACGGTCTCATTGAGCCACTTGGCCACCAGCGTGAGGATCTCCGTCCGTGTCGACTTGCTGGTAACCGCCGCAGCGAAGAATTCCCAATCGCTCTTGGTGTACAAGTGACGGCTATCCAGCGGTAGGCCATACCGCTGCATCACGTTGTAGTACCAGTCGCTTGCTAGCTGGTAAACATAATCCGGAATGAAGGTGTCCGGCTTCTTCTTCTCGTCAGAGACGGGCACCTGCTCTCGCCACTTCGCAGACGTGGAGATGCTCGAGTCCTCAGGGAGATGGAAGCAGAGGAGGGAATCTGCAAACAGGTTGTAGATAGTCGTCCACGATCCATACCACTCATACGAGAGCTTGGGGAATTTCTTGTCCCTGGAGAGGGCAAAACCCTGCCACTTGTCGATGTAGTCATCCGCAATCTCGCGGTAGTACTTGGCATCCTTGGCTTCGCCCAGGATGTTTGAGATCTCACTCATGGCCCGGATGCCAATGATACCCTTCAGGGCCAGGTTGCTCTGCAGCGAGAGCCAGCCCGCAAAGTCATCCGTGGACAGCTGATTCTTAGGCTCCAGTGCCTCTTCGATGAGGTAAACAGTCCACTGCTTCCACAGTTTGTACGACTTCTGCACCCACTTCTGGGCTTGTTTGAGATCACTAGTCGCTACATCACCGTAACCCCATGCACGGTCCATGCCGTATTCATCGACAATCGAGGTCCCTTGGACCTTAAGCAGGCTGGCGGCAGCCGCGGATGAAACGTTCAGGAACGCCGGCTGGGTATCGTACTTGTACGCATTGACCAAGGCGAGTCCCATGATCAGCATGTTGCCACACTCCTCCAGCGGCATATACTCGTCATTACCATCGCCATGTCCTGTGGCGTTGGGGAAGTGGTAGCCAAGGTCATGCATGCTGTACTTGTTGGGGTACTGACCGCTGCCCATGTGCTCCAAGAGGGGCTCCAGTAGGTAGGCCAGCCACCTGGGGTTGGTGTATAGGAAGAAGGGGAAAGATGGGAAGATGACGTCCACGGTCTGGAAGTTGCCATTGGACGAGATCTCCTTCAGGAACAAGATTGGGTTGTCCGGGGTACCTGAGAACTGGGTAGCACCAAGGACTTGACGTGCAGAGAGGGCGGCAATGTCTCGGTAGTCAGACGAGCCTGAAGCATAGGCATCAATGTCGAGCTGCCGGGAGTAGTTGCCAGCCAGATCACTCGCGGTGTCAAAGTCGGTATAGTGGTAGTCGACCATTGCCTCAGCGGTCGGGAAGTAGGTAGCCCAGAATGGGCGCATAAATGTCAGACCCCTGGCACTAGCAAACTGGACCACTGGGTCTTGGGCCAGAGCAAAGGTGAACCTCACGCTGTCGCTCTGGGAGCTAGCCTTGGTGTCTGCGCTGGGCGACGAGCCCAGCTTGAAAGACTTGGAGAAGGCAAAAACAGGTTCCTCGTCCATTATCTTGCGGAATTTGTCATCATTTGCGTTCCTCAGCTCGCCCCTAGCGGAGAAGTGCTTGCGCAGGACGGCCGAAACACCGCTCTCGTGGTGAACGTCTTCCGGGGCGGAAAAGAAGAGGGTCCCCCACTCGGCCCGGTCATCGAACTCGGTGAGGAGCTGTTGGGTGCGGCGGTTGATCTTCCATGTCTTTATTCCGGAGGGGCCTCTCGACTCGTCGGCGAAGTCGGATTGTTGAAGCCTCCACTCGATGTCGTTGTCCCTGTTTCCGGTGATCCATTCCCCGTTCAGGTCGATGTACACGTTGACATCGAAGGACCCTTCGGCATGGACGGTCAAATACGCAGCTGGCAACGACTGTCTGAGGGTAGATGTGGGGGTGATCGGGGAGAGGAAGGACAAGGTGAGCAAGACAGACTCATCCTTGCCTTTGGGGCCGGCAATCAAGTAGGTGAGGTTCGTAGTGGAAGCATCGAAGGTCGCGCCGAGGTAGTCGGGGAAGGTCACGTTGTAATCATTGCTAGAGCCCCCGAGCGAGTCCTGGGGTCGGCCGAGTAGTGGATAGACGTCGCCCGAGCCGGGCACCGCGGCCAGGACGGAAAAGCCGACCTGAAGGGCCAACAACAGTCAGCATTGATCGACACGAACAAGACCTGTTTTAGCTCGGAAGTGAACGACGCCAGGCTCTGTAGTCTTCACGGTGAAGCTACTACGTTGACAGGAGCTTGACCGTGTCTGGACTCACCGTGCGCCCAGTCCAGAAAATGGGCCAACTTTCCCAGGGCGCATGGCGCGAAGGGACCCACGTGCTGAGGTATGGGTTTCGGACCACTAGAGGCAGGATCGGGGGCGTGAGGGTCGAGGCGCTCGCGAGAGCAGCCGCGGCGGCCTGGCCCAGCAGGCTCCAACGCATACTGGCAACAATAATCTGAAAAAAATATGGGGGAGCTTCGTCAGGTGTCAAGGGAAGCAAAAGCAATCAAAAACCACGTGAACGACCAGGAACATGCGCGGACAGAACAGGATGACCGAAGCCGTTCAGGTCGGAAGCATAAGACAGGCGGAGGAAGAAGGGTAGGTAGGGTGTGGGTGGAGAGCTCGGGGGAAGGTGGTGAGCGTGGCTGTTTCAAGCCCGGCGAGGGAAAAATGTATCTGGCGGTGCCCCTCGTCCCCTGAGTCGATCTTGGGTCCAAGCTGATGAAGGAGGACGGAGTTCTTGTTGGTCACGTCAGCCGTCAGCCGTTCTTGCCCGTGCTCTGCTTTGCTGTACATACACAGTACAGGGACACGAAGGGAAACAGCAGCCCACAGTGGCAGCTGCGGGTGGACCGACCGACTCGGGAACTCCCTATGACGTGTGACCTCCTGGGACCCTAGGAGGTCAGGCGCAGTCAGAGGTGCTCCCCCAAGGCCGAAGTGGGTTCCTCCCACGAACCCCGGTCGTTTCATCACTTGACCTGTCCTCTGCTTCACCAAGAAAAAAGAGAACGGAAATTCGCGTACCCAAAATCGGAAGGCGCGTACCCTCCCTACTATTCAGCCAATCAGAACATAGAGCCTTAAAGTCTCTATAACTTCACGAAATAAGTTCTTCACAACTTTAAGGGCCACAAACAGGGCGGGTTGGTCCTCTAGGAACTCGGGTCGTGCCTACCGGCCCTACTTACGGCCCTCCGCTATGCTTCGCGCTCCGGGGCTCGCCCCCTTCGCCCCAGCCGGCCCTTTCGCGTAAGAGAAGTCTTGTATAAGCTACTTGCTTAGTCAGCCAAGGTACGCGCCTTCCGATTTTGGGTACACGAATTTCCGTTCTCAGAAAAAAAAGCTGCCGTCTCGACATCGTCCAGCCGCGACCCGGTAGTGTAGTTCCCTCCTTCCAAGGTCGTAGGCGACCTCGGCAGGCGGGATATGCACGCTTGTAAGCTTTTGGGCCAGCTGTGACCTGGTCATGCGCCCTGCTAGGGCTGGAGTTACGTCAAGGCCGGCCAAAAGGGTGACCTGCCTGCCTGCATAGCATTGGACGGCTGCCCGTTTTGTCACCAGGCACAGGATGCAACCCATCCCCTCCATCCTGTCCTTGTCTGGTTGGTCTGCTTTGTTAGTCTGGTCCAGCGAACTGGGACGCCGGCTGGCCGGGCGGTGACTGATGGTGCAACCAGGCCAAGACCAGCATTGTCGAGTCAGCTGTGAGGGGGGGGGGTTCCATGGGCCGAAGCCGCACCCGCCCCCCCCCCCCCCGCCTGCGACCAGCGGCCCCTCCCTCCTTTTGGTGGGGAACCCTCAAAATCCGGGGAAGCACATTTGACCCTTGCTGGCCTGTTGGCTGGGGAAGAATAATAAGCCGCGCCTCCCACTTCACATACTCCTTCTGATCTGCCTCACCATGGAACAGGAGATAGTCTTCAGCAAGAAACTATCCAAGGCAGACACCTGGATCCTCAAGCACCTCGAGGCCGATGTCAAGGATGCAGCAACAAGGCCTCACACACCCAATGGCCACACCGACACCAGGGCCAATGAGGCCTTTGCTGCCTGGCATAAAATCGCAGGTCTGGTTACGTACTTGACGGGTGGTTTACCCTGCAATTTATACTTATATCTTTCCAACAGATCTTAGGGTAAAGGTTCTATAAACACTTATAATATATTACCTAGTGATGTATCAGCGCGATCCTGCTTATGCAATTTCCACAATCCGGCGTATTCGATTAGTTCAACAAAGACTAGCTGATGCTCACCCGCCCATCTCAGGCTATTTACATTTGCCAACTGCCACCCGTTGACAGAAATTAGGCACGCCAACTTTGTGACATACACTAACCAGGACACAAAACTTCAAGATATTTCCACTTTTCATTGGACTGCGCCCTAGGACACGCGTCAGTGTCACCCGTTATCCGTACTCAAGTAACTGTGTGACCAACATGGCCACTCTACTTGTGCCTCCCCTCTTACACGAAGAGTTTGCATGCTTCAGAATTATAAGCCTTTGTAAGTGAGGGGGAAGGGCTGTATATAAGGACGATTAATTGAGAAATGATCGTGGGCATATCAAGTGAGCTTTCCCTGCACGGCTATTTTATGCAGGAATGTCAAGTGTCTCATCCAAAGCAACTGAGACGGATCTCTGCAGTACTGCGCAAAGACGCCCCGGCCAAAAGACCACAATTCCAAGTTACCCAGACTTGGAATCCAGCACTCATAAGACCCGTACCGTCACAGTGACTGAGCGCAAAGGCCCCATTCACTCAAGTCTAGGCTTGACATTCACTCTAAAGTCCTTGATGCCCACGAACCAAGCAGTATATGAAGGTAGCCCCGGCATCTTGCTCAGGGGCTCAACCAAGCTGGCGTCAAACTTCCTCACCAGGTGCGGGATCACCTTGGAGATCTCCAGCAGGCTGATGTTCTTGCCAATGCAGGTGCGGCTCCCGAGGCCAAAGGGCATGTACATGGCGTTCATGGCCCTGAGCCTCTCCTCGGGCGCCTCGAGCCACCTCTCGGGGCGGAACTCGTCGGCGTCCTCGCCCCAGACCTCCCTGTTGCGGTGGGCCACCCAGCAGTTGACCCCGACGTTGGTCCCCGCGGGGAAGTACCGCCCGCACAGCGTCGCCCCGCCGGCGGGGACGGCCCTCCACAGGCAGAGGCCGACGGCCGGGTGCACCCGCAGCGCCTCCTTCAGCACGGCCTGCAGGTACGGCAGGGCCTGGGTCTCGGCGAAGCTGGGGGGCTCGCTCAGGGCGCCGCGGGCGTGGGCCCCGTCCAGCTCGGCCCGCAGCCTGGCCTGCACCCTGGGGTGCTTGATGATGTTGTAGTAGGTCGCGTTGAGCGAGATGGAGGTGGTGTCGCTGCCGGCGAAGACGTTGCCGGAGCACGCGCCCATGACCAGCTGGATCGGCTCGATGCCCCCGTCCAGGCCCTTGTCGCCGCGCTGGGCCGCCTCGGCCTGGGCGAGGAGCTTGGAGGCGAAGTCGGGCTGCGTCGCGGCCTGGCGCTCCGGGTCGTCGTAGCCGTTGAGGCTGTCCTTCTTGGACTGCTCGATGCGCTCCATGGTGAAGGCTGCGAGCTTCCCGACGCCCTCCGTGGTGTCTCGCCGCGCCAGGAACCTCGTCAGCGCGACGAGGGGTCTGAAGAAGCCGGCTGCGTGACTCCACTCCAGAACGCCACTTATTGTCTTGATCATTCCAAACATATCTATGCCTTTCTCCAAGAAGCCAAAGCGCTTGGAATACTAGAAGTTTGAGGTCAGCTTCTGCTACCACAGTCGAGACTCGGTTAAAGGCATCAGCATGTTGACTCGTTGAGACTCACCGTAATCTCGCCAATGACATCAAAAGCGTAGTACTGGAACCATTTTGAAAGGTCGATTGACTCCCCCGACTTCGTGCACATTCGCAGTCTGCTGGTGAATATGTCGATGCAGTTATTCACGTACGGCTCGTAGCTGACCAGACTCGACATGGCGTACACATTCGAATAGTGTCGGCGCATGGTGGAGTGGCGCTTGATATCTCTTAACGCGAAGAGGTTTGTACTGTGCATGTCGGGTCGTGTGTTCCAAATCTCATACCACTCCGACTTCTGATATTGGGTGCCGTGGCCGTAGATGGTCTTCACGGCCGAAGGGTCGTCGAAGCTGTAGTAATTTGGACCAAGGCGCACAATTTTTCCTGTTTCGTGATGCGGTCAGTGACAGTACATAAATCTATAGACGTGCAGACAGCTGGAACGAGGTTGTGTTGCGCACCATATTTCTTGTGAAGCTCGACGTTCTCAATCTGAAAATCCCCTTTGATCTGCCTGGACGCCAACCACAGGTCCGTGAATCTCGCGAGGAACGGGCCGGGTGCTCTGGGGCCGCTGGCCCAAAAACGGTATGCCAGAAGGACAACGAGAGCCAAGCCTGCCACGACTGGCCAGCTTGCTATTGGTATTCTTTCGAACATTATGGCTGGTGGTGGTATCTCTTTCCCCGTGACAGTACTGTCTCATGTGCTGTTAATGTCAACGAGTGAGAATTGTGGTAGGGCCTAGGGTGCGACCGCTCTTATATTCATAAAGACAGACACCTGAGAGTAGATCTACGTCGTATTGCGGGGTCTCTTAGGTTTAGTCGTGCTTCCAGACCTGATGCTTGTCACCCTGGCCCAATATGTTCGGAATCCAAACCGGCGGCATTTCCGCGATCTGACGTCTTGTCGCACAGGTTAAAAAGCCGACTATGATCCAGGACCCACCTCTCCTTCATCTTTAGGACTTTGGCCGTAGATTTGATTGTCATTCCACCTGTAGAAAGTTGTGCTTTATGTATCAACTCGTTCTTTGTAAAAATTGGATTCGATTGATATTAATGTTTTCTCCCCAAGCCAACCCAGCGAGGTGGTGCCGTGGCATTATAAGAGCACCCGCGAGAGCACGGCGGTAGGGCGCCAAGCGTCAATATGCTTGTCAAGTTGTGAGACAGCTCGTCGATGACTACAGTAATGGGCTGGTGTGAAGAGCGCCCAGCACAACCTCTCGACAATGGGACTTGGATCTGCCCAGCTAGTCGCTGCGGATCGTATGCGAATCCGAGCTCTGGGGCCCGCCCTGAACGAGCAGTTGCCCTCGGGGCGAACGGAGGAATTGGGCGCGTTTTACCGGGCGCCAGATGACAGCGTTGAATACATTGTCCAAGGATAATCCACAAGATATTTCCGAACCCCCGAGTGTCCATGTCTGTTTGGGTAGGGCCTTGCTCAGGTGACACAACTACCGGACATCTCATTCGACCCGAGTACCGGCCGAGCGCCCACCTGGCCGAGCGCCCACCTGCCCGGGCGGACACTAGCCGTCTCTGAATAGACCCTATGTCACGGAATCGAGCCTACGGCATAGCGGAATCGAAGTTGATTTAGAAGAAGCTTTCCGGGCGGGGTAGACCTACCCGGGGATACTATATATACGGGAATAGTGGGTCTTATCTCGACACCCTAGCTCCGATCTGCCGCTGTAGTAGCACGTGGAAACAAAGTTGGTCTCCTGCTATTCGGGATCATACATTCACATTGTGCTGGGGGCTGAGCACTGGCCACAATTATATACATGATCCTAGCTGCAGGGGCCTTGGAGCTCACCAGGCACGACCACTGGATCGAAGCAACTGCGGCTTCAACGTTACTGTCACAAACAGGCACCTCGTAACGTTGGTTCAACGGCATCTGCGCACGGGAGTTGACGAGGTGGCATCATTGTGACTTGCAACGGGATCCGCGGTGTGTTTTCAAAAGACCAATAAATTTCAATTTCTCTCCAGCATTCTCTGCAATGTCATCTGCTGTTCTTGAGTTATTCGCTTCGAAATTCAGCTCTGTATCTGCGTCCGGCGTGGATCAACCTCAGGACCATGAACGTCTCCGATGACACACTTGTACTTTGGCCTAACTAGAATTTCCCCCGGATTCTTCCCAGAGCCATCAAGCATTCTGGGACATGAATTTCCGATAAATCAGGAATTGGCTGAGGTTAAGTTACCGAGTATAGCAGAACGAGGTATTTTGTCTTTGTAGATGCTATATCCGGACGATTGTTTATGTAGGTAGCTACCGCTAAACAGAGTTTTCGAGGGAATATGTCTCGGTAAGAATAATACTGAGCTATTTGACTTGGGAATTTGGTCTGCCTTTTTTCATTCATCTCCGGGAAAGTGAAATGCTAAAGGCGGCATGAAGTTATTTGCTGTTTGTTGAAGTCCCCGAAGCGTCTTGCGAGCCTTTGATGAACCAAGTTCGATCTTCCACGATGCAGGACTCATGACCACCCACCTCCGTATGCATTGCAGGTCTCTGATCTTTTGAAAAACAGGGGTACTTGAAACAAAGCCTGTTTAACTCCATTGGTGCCTATATCAGGGGTGCTTCACAGGGTTTTAAGCCGAGCGAACGGCCCATTTAGCATGGGCAGGCTTTCAAGCTGAGCAACTGCATGGCATCACCGATGATGTTGTCCGAGCGCACTCCCTTGGTTCTGACTTTTTGAAATACCCTGGACTCCAGTGAGAATTTTCCAATGGAATCATATCATTACTGTTCCGTTGCTACCTTAATTTGCATTCCAACAACTATGAACTACTTGTATATTTTAAGTTCCTCTTTAAGCTGGAAGCAAACAGTCCCAGTCCCAGAGGGACAAGGCACAATGTATCTTTCAAGATCAGCTCAGTTAATTTTGCCATGCAGGACTTTTCGCAGTGACTTCGCAATCTTCTGCAATGCCGTCTGTTGTCAGAAGACGCCTTCCTATATCAACAACTATGGGTGGCCCCAAGGGGACTGCAGATGTGAAGCACTTGAGCCCCAGCCGAGGGCTTCTCCCCTAAGCTCTCCTGAGTGACACAAGAGGTCGCGTTTGCAACGAGCGTTTGGGCAGCTTTGCAGCAATTGATGGATCCCACTGCATTTCCAAAAAGTGACTTCAATGGATACATTTACCAAGTACCTAACAGCCCAGTCTGGCCCCACCAAACACCGACAAAACGCAAGACCTGCCCAGGTGTGCAATTCCCTGAAGTCTGCTATTTTTTCCAGGCATCTCACTGCTTGCTTTCCCTTCTTCTTAATCAACCCACCCATTGACTATCCCACATGTCTTCAAGGAGATATCGAGACCGGAGTCGGTCTCCTCCCCCCGCTTCTGACGGGCGGGATCGATCTCCATCCCCAGAAGCCACCGGGCGTTCAGGCAGGCATCGTGCGTACCGTCAGCGCGACGACTACGATCGCGATGACTACGATGGCAACAGCTATGATGGCGGCAGCTACGGTCGCGACGACTATGATCGCGAGGACTACGACCGCGACAGCCACGACCGCGACAGCCACGACCGCGACAGCCACGACGATGAATACGAGCAGCACGGCTACGATAACAACAATCAACCTCGACATGTCTCGCATGACTCCAGCACAGTGATCACCGGGCGGAACCCAACAGTGACTGTCAACTACTTTTTTGAAGGAGCTACTCCACCGGACAATGCTCCAAGGGGCTACATGCCACCTCGGGTTTCTCACATTGGCAACGATGGCAGACACTTCCGCATGTTTCAGTGGGGCCCTGGCTCGTCGATTCAGAGGGGTCAGCCGAAGAAGCAGATCCCAGAGGCAATGAGGGACAAGTGTGGCGCCTGCAGAGAGGACCACGACAGTAAGCAATTTCTGAACACAATGTCGAACCCCTCAAGGAGCACTTGAGACAGTCGTCCCACTTATGGCCTGCGCCTCAAATCACCTGTCCCGTCGCTACCACTTTCTTGGTCCTTTGAAAACTGACTTGCAATGCTGCAGTCCGTTTCTGCCCTTACCCCAACACCGAGGACGGTCGCACAAAGATCTGTCCAATCTGTGACACCTCGAAGCACGCATGGTATCAATGTGTCCACTACGAGGAGGATGATACCCACCTGCAATGGGAGATCTGTTGGGTGAATCGCCGATGCCTTCCAACACTTGTCCACGATCACAGCCTTCATGGAATTTTCTTAAAGAAGCTCAACCTCGAAGACGAGGAGACGCCATTTGAGATTCGCCTTCTTGTACTCAACACCGAGGCCGGACCGTTGAGCCCCGCCTTCGTGAAGAGGCTCCTGCCACCCAATGGCAGCGATTCCTGTGTCCAGCAGCAACTGTGGATTGGCCGACAGCTCCCCTGGCAACTCGACAAGGATATCCTCGAGTCCTCCATGTTTCGACCTGAGTGGGCTATCGAAGACCCAGCCACAAAGGATATGCAGGTTGGGAACTTCATTCCTGACACCAAGACGAGCTACGTTCCTAAGGCCGGCAAACAGGAGTACTTCAAGTCACTGGATCGGAAGAAGCGCAATGGCGAGGACATGTAGACCACCCGCTAGGACTCTCATCTCTCCAGGCACATGACAGGTCTGGAGGTGGCCACGACGAGAGCATAGCCGTCGATCAGCAGTTTCCACTGGAGCTGAGCGTCATGATTGGGACGCGTTCACTTTCTCTCACAGTCTCGCCATATGCCGAGCTGTAGTTTTGTTGGCCACATACAGTCGTGACCCACTTGTGGGCCGATATTGCCTCGGTCGCAATTGTTGCGCAGGATCTCGAGCAAATGATGCAAAAGGAAAAGAACATGGCGGAATTCCAATGCTGCATCCAGCTGGTCAGTCAGAAATGTGTGCTGATCACCAGCATTCTGAACCAAAGTGGCTGTGGTACAAGGCGAGGCGTCACTTCGCCCAGGCCTCCCCACCCGAAGCTACTGTGAACATTCCACGACCACGCAGTTGAGGCGTCTCCACTTTCGCTGAGCTGCGGCGTCTAGAGGTGTCTAGAGGTGTCAACAATGGAATAGATTAATAGCAGTCAGCAGCAGTTGAACCCACACTGAGGTTACCTCGTTCTGCTTTTCTCTTACGAGTGTCATTGGTACTCTACCTTCAAGAACGACTGTTTTGTGTGATGTGGCTGTAGATACCTTGGAGATGAACAGTAACCATAATCTCCTGTGAAGAGTATATTATGATCTTTAGTGCCGGGCTCTCATGTTGAAAAATGTCTCATGTTCTAGCTTTTTGCGTTCTTTGGGCGTTGTGTCAAGCCCTTGACCATCGACACGGATGCAGAGCCACGAGCCTCCCCATCAACATTGAAGTCACAATCATATAGGAGCGATGCAGTGAGACCCACGATGACCTTCCATTTAGTTGTCTACTCAAGTACGTGAGTTTACTGGCTGACAGCTCGGAAGCATGGGAGTGGTGTGGGGGTCAGTATGAGGCGGAGGGTGCTCGATTTCGCTCAACTTACACCTGCGCCTTAGCCTTCCAAGTCTGTGCGTCGCAGGGCTGAGGCCACATGAAATCATCGTGTTTTAACCATTTTTATAGACACAGTATATTTTCTTAATCCCTGTTCCTTATGAGTTTACTATTATATGAAGGCACCATGTATGTTCCCGGACGTATGTGGAATAGAAATGAAACTAATTGGTAAGTGCTAGGCCCCTTTGACGCGCAGACCGCATCCCCGGCTCGCAAGCAGCCCCCCGAATACTCCACAGCGATCTTCTGCTGAAATTCAAAGCGTCCTACGCATTATAAATAAGCCTATGGCAGATATTTATCAAGTAAAAGAGCGGAAAGTTCCTCACAGGAAATGAAAAAGTCAGAAAGCAACACAATCTGCGAGCTGGTCAAATAACCTTACAGTCGTGAGAGGCTTATATCAGCATATTGGTGATAGCTATTGAACCTCTGCTGACCTACTTCTTATTGCGGCCTATTGGTTAAATGTTACACGAATCTCAGGTCACATGGAAAACCCCGCCTTTCACAGCCTTGTTATCAACAGCAGAGTCTCTCAAGGTCAATCCTACACGACTCTGCTTCTCCATGTAGGACAGAGCCAACACGCATGAATATGTCGCCACATCGACCCCTGACGCCTGATCATGGACCTCCCATGGAGCTGCATGGGTTGGGAGATTCTTCGTATCGCCTCGAAGACGTCGAGATGGACGCGGACCAATTGACTGCTGGCCTGGCTGAACAGTCCGACGTGGAACGTCATACCGCCGGATCCACACCACCTCTGTTAAACAAGGATAGCAAGAGAGTGCCCGGAAGACCAAACAACATAAGACACCATGCGGCCGAATGGTGGAATCAATGGATGCTAGAGGTGCTTTCCGGTGTCCTGAGCATCGTTGCCCTTGTTGCGACCGTCATCACTCTCGAGCCTAATCAAGGGAAGCCCTTACCTGACTGGCCTTTCGACATTTCAATCAACGCCCTCCTCTCGATCTACTCGGTCGTGTTCAAGACATGCATGATATTTGTCATCCAATCATGCATTGGCCAGCAGCAGTGGGTCTGGTTTGCATCCGAGAGGCGGCTGTACGACGTCGCGCTCTTCGATTCTGCTAGGCAGGGACCGTACGGGTCCGCCGTATGGATCTGGGTTCACCGTCTGCGACAGCCTCTGACAACACTCGGTGCTGTCATCTTAATCCTTTCAGTCGCTGTAGACCCCTTCTACCAGCAACTCCTGGATTATGTCGACTGCGATACGACCCTCCAAGACACCGCATGGGCGGCCCGCTCAAACTACTTCGATGCCGGCGCGCATCTTTTTGTTGAGGCAGGAAGCCCAGAGAGGATGCTTCCTGACGCCCAGTCGGCTCTGCGGTCTGGCGTCTTCTCAAGACCGGATGCGATGCAGCCACACTGCTCCTCGGGAAACTGCACATTTGAGACGTACTCCACCGTCGGCTACTGCAATGAGTGTCAGGATGTCTCCGAAGACCTGAAGTTCACGGCTGTTCCTGTGGAAGACCAGGAATACTACGGCTGCGGGGCTCCTCCCGGTTTTCAGAACTACATCTTCACCTCATACCTGCCATCCAATTTCAGCATGATATGGAACACTTCCGATTTCGACGGTACGCAAGTGCTGTCCAGCACGGCTGGTCTAGAAGATCCGGTCGTGTTTGAGATCATAGCTGGGAAGACAACCTTGTCAGACTTGACGCTCGATCCCACAACTGGAGAGAATCTCACCTGGTGTGATGATCCAATTGGTTCTGATGATGATTGGCGTTGCCGAGGATATGGGGCAGCAAGATGCTCGTTATTTCCTTGCGTCCGGACATATAACACAACTGTCGATGCCGGCAGCGTCACCGAAGACCTTATAGAGCACACCACGCTCGAGACACTCCGGGATCAACCGTTTTGGGACCTCGCTTCAGGAGAGTATATGGAATACCCAGGTGATGCTCTCGTTCTGGTGAACACAAGCTGTATATCATCGGAAGATGAGCAGCAACTCCTGAAAACGGGCCACCGAATCGATTCTAAATGGTTGGTCTACACGGCGCCAGATGACTTCGATCTTGACATTCTGTATCCACCCGACGCAGGCTTCCCCGGTTCCATGGTATCCCGCGGCTGCACATATGCGTTCGATGATTTTATGCTGGACTACGGTCTATGGAATTTCTTCAGCACGAGCGGTTTCTTGACAGGCAACACAACCGGATCTCTCTCGTGCCCAGACGCCCACTTGCTCTCCTTCAGCGGGCCAAGTGAGCTGCAAGTTCTGTACAACTCGTCCAATGTCTCTTTCCGGGGCTTACAGGACACATTTGACAACATGGCCACCTCCTTCACAAATTACATGCGTGCCAACGGACACGAGAACTACAGCGCCCCTGCACACGGCACTGTCTCCCACTATGCCACATGCCTCGAGGTCAGATGGGCCTGGATCGCATTTCCAGCTGTCCTGGTCGCTATGACTGTGTTTGTACTGCTCCCACTGACAGTACATGTGACGCTGCGGGCAGACGTACCGACTTGGAAGGATGGTCTGCTACCCCTCGTCTTCCGCGGTCCTCTCGTCTACCGGGACCGGGAAGAGACGAGACAGTCCGATGATGAAGATGAGGAGCGTGCGCCTGTTTGCACGGGAAACAGTGTCGAAGAAATGGAAGAGAGATCAAAACTCATGAGAGTGCGTCTCAGTCGTGTTGGTCAGGAAACAAGACAACTAGGGCTCATCTGAGCCAGAGAGACTTAAATACTAAGTATGCATCTAGAGCACAGATATGGTAATCTCTGAGAGAAGCCCTTTTGACAAATCATTGATTCCAGAAGATTACCAGGAAGCGAATCAATATATAGTCACCAGCAGCCGGGCTGCTATAGATTGTCCCGTCCTCTAAATTTAGACCCGGCCTCGGATGATGGGAACCCTGTTTCGAAAGCTGATTTAAACAGGAGGCTGTAGCCCAGACTCGAGTGATTTCACGCCAGATGGCCTCATATGGAGTCATTGAGGCTCAAGTTCAGCTATATCACACTAGCATATCATGTAGCGCTGCCCCGCCGCCCTCCCATCACATACTGTCCGAACCAGACATATCCATCGCCTAGTAGAGCAAATTCCGAGGACATCCATCCTGAATCTATCGTATTATAACTATTGTTATCGGCATCGTGTTCTTTCCAAGCGCTGGGTCTTGAGTGCTTACCACCGTATGAAGGCGCCATGTATGTCCTCGGACGTATACGGAATAGAAGCGAAACCACATCCATCCTGAATACCATCATCACCAGAGGCGGCCGCCGAAGCTGGCGCCAGGACCGCCTCACCCAGTTGGAATCACATCTATCCGCACAGATATCATCACTTTATACCCACCTACGGCTTCAACCACACTATGATTTTCCTTTATACTATATAACTATTTTTTTATTTAACTGTTTATTTCTTCCTCCTTAAGCTTATATATAAAGTTTTTTATAGTTTTATATATATTCTTATAATTCCTTTATATAAAAGTTTTAAGTCTTTTTTATTATAATTATTTTATATTATTAAAAGCTAATAATTATTATTAATAATAATTTAATTTTAAAGAGAATTTTTATATTTATTTTAATTTTTATATAAATTATTTTTTAAAACCTTATAATAATTTTATTATAAAACTTTTAAATATAATATATTATAAATTATTTTCTTAATTTAAACATTTTTTAATTTTATTATATATTTAAATATAAATTATTAAATTTATTTAATAAAGCTTTATATATATATATATATATATATAAGTTTAAAACTTTTTTAAAATATAAAATTAAAGACTTATAATTATAATTTTTATTACTTTTATTTAATTAGTTAATTTTATTAGAATTTCATTTAATTTAATATAAGTTTCTTTTAAGTTTTTAAATCTTTTATTCTTTAATAAAATAAAAGCTTTAAGCTTTTAAATTTAAAATTAAAATTCTTATAAATTTTAATTTTATTATAAACTAAACTTATAATCCTTTAGTTTATTTAAAAATAATTCTATTATTTTAAATAATAATAACTTATTTTTAAAAAAGTTTATTTTATAAAATTATAAACTTAATTATTAATAGTTATTTCTTTACTTTTTATAATAAAGCTATTAAAACTATAAATTTATATATTATATATAATAAAAATATAATTCTTTTATTTAATTATATCTCGATTTAATTAAATAATAACTTTTAAATAAATTTATATTAACTTATTTTAATTAATATATATTTAAAAACTTTAATTTATATAATAAATTTAATACTTTTATATAATATTTATTAATATTAAATTAAGTTAATAACTTATAATTTATAATAACTTTAACTTTTAATGAATTAATTTATATTAAATTTAATAATATTAATTTAAAATTATTAAGTATAATTTAATATATTAATATAGAAAGATATCTTTTAATAATAAATAATATTATAAATAATTATAAAGTTACTATAAAAGCTTTATATAATAAATTTTATTAAGTTAATTTTAAAAGATATATTATATTTTATTTCTAAAAAACTTTAATTATTTACTTTTAGTTTAATAATAATATTAAAAAATATAAATAATTTTTATAAGTTTAAAAAAACCTTTTTAATTAAATTTCTTTTATATAATTATTTTTAATGTTATCTATATATTATAAATAATTATTAATCTATTATTAATCTATTATTAATATAAACTATATATAATACGAAAATAATAATAATAACATAAAGCCCCCCTGGAGCGGGTATTATAGGACGCGAGATGGAACATTGAATGGCATATAGTTGGCCTATACAACATGAGGACTGGCTGTAGGTCAGTTGACAGACTTATTGGAGGCAATATAAGAGGCGAGGGACCAACTTGCGGGCCATGTATTATGATCAATGGATGTCGGGCATGTGCTGTTTTCCTATTCACCCGCTATCTGTACCTTTCAGAAGGAGATTTTTATATCTATTTTAAGCTCCAGTGTCCAACCTGAAGTTAAGCTACCCCAGGGTAATCTGTCGAGGCAAAAAAAGATGGAACCGTCTATAAAAAGTGTGCATATGGACTTGGTGTGCTTATCCGCTTCATCATCACAATGCTAAGATCTTGACCGGTACACTGTAAGAGGAAAGTGTGTCGTGAGGCAGACATCGTGCTGCGCCATGCGCCGCCTCAAATTGTGGCATTGGCGCATGATGTTTAACAACATTAGGCAGTGGCGTGCTTGTGCAAAATCGCCTGGAATTGGGTCATCAGGCCACGAGTCATATTCGAGATTCTGCAGCCTAAAGGATCAAAGAGCAGTTCCAGCATGTCACAGTTATGTTAGAGTGGCAGAGTTTTCAATGACTTACCCACCACAGCATCATTGCTGGTTGCGCCAGTCAGACTTGTTCCTACTGTTATTGGATGAACTTGCAAGCTGAACAGCCTTCAGCCCAAGAGGCAGCCCAAGAGGGTGGGGGAGGGGGTCAGAAATGACAATTCAAGTTATTTATAAGAACATTTCAGAGCCCAAAATCCGAGAGAACGGAAGTCCGAACGGTCAAAGGGACTGCCAAATTCCACGACTCAATAATTCTTGCCATCCATGGTCTGTAGTGAAACAATCCTTGACCACGACGATAACATGGAGGAACCGGCTGCGAACACTGACGCCACTTTTTCCCAGAATCAAGTCGTTGACAGCGACCCAGAATTACGGTCGCACGAGCGTTCACATGCCGAGAAGTCCGATCTCAAGACTGCCCGCGACGACCTGTCCCATCTGCATGAATTACTCGCAAGAATGAAGGATAACGATGAAGATGCCAGCGGGGGAGTTGAGAAGCTCCGGGCAATGCTGAAAGGAAGTAGCGAGGCGCTTGTCAACTCCAAAGGCCCAGGAGGATTTACCGCCCTCCACATTGCTGCCAAACGGGGGCTTGAAAAGTCTGCCGGGCTACTACTCATCGACGCTCAAGCGGACGTTTTCGCCAAGGATGAGGACTCGATGCAACCTTTACATTACGCCTGTAAGGAGGGGAAGAGCAATATCGCAAAGCTGCTCATAGATAACGGCGCGGATATCGAGGCTAAGGGTCGCTGGAAAGAGACGCCCCTCTACAAAGCATGTAAAGGAGGTCATACAGCGGTCCTGGAACTACTTCTGGAGCGAGGTGCCAACGTTAATGCTCTCGACGACGAGGGCATGACGCCTCTTTTCTTCGCAGCCATGACGGGGCAAGTCCCCGTAGTGAAACTTCTCCTGGAAAGGGGCAAACCGAACATCGATCATGCCGTGCGAAAACACAAGGGGTTCACTGCAATACACGCTGCCGTCTATGAAGGCTTCGAGGAAATAGTGGCCATCCTACGCACACAACAAGCGAGACTGGATCTTCGCGATGACGACGGGCGGACCCCATTAATGCTGGCTACAATCGAGAAACAGGTCGGCCCAATGAGACAACTGCTTTGCAAAAGAGAAGATCATGAAGATAGACAGCTTGATACATGGGATAAGGAGGGGAATGCGCCACTCACATGGGCAGCCGGTCATGGATTTTCGGTCGGTGTCCGCCTCTTGATAAAGCATGGCGCCGACTGCAATGTACGGGACAAGTTCTCAAGGACACCGATCATCCTGGCGAGTCGCTGGCGCAACCTAGATGTTGTTCTGGATCTACTACAACACAAGCAGCCCACAGATATCAATGCTCAAGACGGGAAAGGCCAGACCGCCTTGCATAAGGCCGCCTCCAGGGGTTACGCCCAGGTCCTTAAGCTCCTACTGGAACATCATGCCGATACTAAAGTCCGGGATGTTAGAGGACGACAAGCCTTACATCTGGCCTGCTTTCAAGGGAGTTTGGGCATTGTGATAATGCTTTTGAAAACCACGGCTGACCGGCAGTTGGAAAGTCGTGATGAGGACGGCATGACGGCCCTCCACATAGCCTGCAAAGCTGGCGATCGCGACGTGCAGCATGCCCCTCCTCACGGTTTGGGCCCAGAAGATTTTACTGCTGTGCAAGAGCCTGAGTTTATTTGCGGAAGACATGGTGCTGTTGTTGAGTTTCTACTGGCAAGCGGTGCCGATCCAGATGCTAAGACGGCCGATGGGAAGACAGTTCTTGGTCTTGCACTCCAAAGTCAATATGGCAAAGACGAAAAGGTCCAACACCTCCTCAAAAACATGAAGGTGGACGATGAGGAAGCTCCACTTTGCTCGACCTTGAACACTTTCGGCTCTGTTGCAAGCAGTACAGACTACAATGACTTGTTACTCTGGGCAGCTAGCGACTCCGAGAGGCATTCTGTCGCGAGGTCACTTATCAGGAAACGCCCCACGAGCGCAGCTCCTCCCCCGTCGAACAAAAGAAGCGCAATTGGGTGGGCCGCTTGGGCGGATCTGCCTGGGGTGCTCTGGCTGCTCATTGCCAATACTCCGTGGACTGAGAAGACTTTGAAGGAGATCAAATCGCTGGAATGCCCAGAGAATGCGGCTCCAGACGTTAGTTCCGGACAAAAAGGGACCGAACAAGCCCACAACGGCCACGATACAGACTCTCAGATGGAGGATCGCTTAACAGTTCAAGACATCATCCGGGACCCCCCTCTTGCATTGCTGCGTGACATGCATGCAGACAGCCAGGACTTTGGGCTGCCGACAATGGGCGC